AAAAAAAAAAAAAAAATTACAGAAACAAAGGAAATTTAAAAATTGTAAGACTAGGGGCTGGGGAGATAGCTCAGTAGAATAAGTGCTTGTCTGGCAAGCGCAAGGGCCTGAGTTCAATCCCCAGTTCTACCAAAATAAAATAAAAATTGTAATACTGTTGGGCTGGGGATATAGCTCAGTGACCTAAGTGCTTGCTTGGCGAGCTCAAGGTCCCAAGTTTGATCCCCAGTCACAAAAAAAAAAGTAAAACTTGTAAGACTATAGAACACAGCTTAGGTCAACAAACTTGAATTCAGTGTTGAGATAAAATCTATAGGTTATATCGCTTATGGACTATGTAGTAAAAAGTATCAATTCTAACAGCCTCTTAAAACATTAATACAGTATAATCAAGCAGTGTTCATCCCAAGAATTTAAAGAAAACTCAAGATCAGCAAATATTGAGTTTTATTTTATTAGCATATTACAGGAGAATATATCTTAATGGATGGAAAAAATCTCACAAAATTGAGTATTCATTGATTTTTAAAAATAATTATTTTATTTTTTTGATTTTTAAAAAGAACCTGGGTGGGCATGTTGGTGAACTCTTGTAATCCCAGCACTCAGTAGGCTGAGGTATGAGTGTCATTGAGAGTTATAAGCCCAGCCTGGGCTACAGAGTGAGTTCAAGGCAGCGTGAACTCACTCTGAATTACACAGTGAGACCCTGTCTCAAAAAACCTGTAATCCTACAGAGTAAACCTTAAAGATAACCAAAAAAAAAAAAAAAAACAAACAAAACAAAACAAAAGTCCCTGTTTGTGCCAATATCAATTAATTACTTCTCAGCTCCAAATACACCGTCCACTCCCTTGCCCGTCAAATTTGATGCTTTCTGGAAACTGAGCACCGAGCAAAATGCCTTCTTTTTAAAGCTCTTCTAGAGTGTTGTTCTTTATTCCTTTTTTTTTTTTTGTTAAGACAACATCCCACTGTGTAACTCAGGCTAGTCTTAACTCTTGGCACTCTTCCTGCCTCAGCCTCCCCTCCCAAGTCTTCTCCTCCCTGGCTGTTTTATTCCTTCTAAGTGGCAGCTCATGATTTTTTTGTTACATTTCCTCTCTTTCGATTATTGGTATAGTTCTGGTCAACTAAATGGAGCATTAATAGTACAGAATTGGTGCCAGAAGTGGGATCTATCCCCCACCTTCTAGTCATGTATGTCCTACTGAGTCATCCTTGCTGCTTCCTGTTTGTTGGATATAGTCAGCATAATACCATTCGTGTAAGAAGGTGATGTTTGTAGAGAATCAAAACGAGTAGTATCTCTGCAGGCCACACTGTAGGGCAGAATGGGAGATGTGACACTGCTGGCAGGAGACCACAGCGGTGCACTGTTGGCCCTGCCAGGTAAGAGCAAGCGGCTGCTGGGGGCCCTCTGCAAACTGATTTGGAGACATGGGCTGTGATCAGGCTAACAACTGGGGCCACTGCAGGTTTGGCCCCGTAAAGACCCTGCCACTTTTCAGAAGCTGAAGTTGGAGGCCCTACCTGGTCCCAGTCATCTACAGTTCCTTTTCCCAGGTCTACTCAACTTCCACACAGGTCAGACAGCTAAGTGAGGCCTGCTTCTTTCAAGACTGTCACAGTAGGGCCAGGAGATAGCTCAGTGGTCTAAGCACCTGTTTGGCAGGTGCAAGGACCTGTGTTCAATCCCTGGTACAGAATGCTGTGCCTACCCCACACCGAGCTGGCCACTGAAACCAGATATGGTGGTGCACACCAGTAATCCCAGCGCTGGGGAGGCTGAGACGAGGATTGCTGTGAGTCTGAGCAAACCCTGTACCACATAAATAAATAAAAGATTTTTTTAAAAAAAGACTGTCACAGTGGCACTCACCTTTGCAGTGCCCTCAGGTGCAGTGAATCCTCTGGTTTAACGTTTAGGGGCTGGGGATATAGCTCAGCAGTGTAACAACTCCCTGGCAACACCTGCCTGGGCCCTGAATTTGATTCCTGGTACCAAAAAAAAAAAAAAAAAAAAGGCAAAAAGACCTTTAGAAAAAAAATGGGGGTTAAGCAGGGGTGAGGCTCCATTATGCCATTGAAAACATTTTCTTCTTGCTGGGTACCAGAAAGAAGAAAAGTTTCTGAGCTGGAGATGGTAGCCCACCTATGCCTGTAATCGCAGCACTCAGAAGGCTGAGGCAAGAGGGTCGCCATGAGTTCCAGGCCGGAGCTACATAATAAATTCATCCTGTACTACCAAGTGAGACCTGCTTTCAAAAACACCGCAAAAACATTTCACCCTCCAAAATTTTTTATTCAGATGAGTAACTGAAAGAACACATGGTCTACATTCATTCATCAGGCTGCTAGAGTTATGGTTAACTTTTCTGTCCTTTAAAAAGTTTTTGCTCCCTGTCAGCGTTTTATAAATGGACTTCTTTGAGGACCAGGACACAGAAGTTCTGGGGCCTCACCTGCTGTTCTTTCTTCAGAAACATTTCGATCTCCACGTGGACCCGGTTCTCTTCCTCCGTCTTCATCCTCAGTTTCTATAAGAACAAGAATCACCAAGTGGCTCAGCGGATTAAAGCACCTGCAAGCAGGCACAGGGGCCGGGGGTTCAATCCTCGGGCCTGCCGTGCTGGCCCTGCCCCCCAGGGTGCACTGAGATGGCAACTGAGACTGGGCATGGTGGTGCACGCCTGTAGTCCCAGCTCTTGGGAGGCTGTAAACAGGAGGATCACTACAAGTCCAGTCTAGTAGTGAGACCCTGAACACCCTGTAGACCCTTCCCTAAAATACAAAAAAAAAAAAAAAAAAAAAAAATACCAGGATCTGTGCTGGCCAAGGCTGGCAACTTACGCCAGCAGGGGACATGTGGGCTTCATGACCAGTGTGGCCAGGGTGGAGGCATTGTTTCAGGTGGCACTCAGCCTCACCCTCAGTCACCCAGGCCACACAGCAGGTGTTGGCACCACACAGGGAGTAGCATGTGAGGCCCTGGAGACGGGTCAGTGTGTGGCCACCTAGAACGTGACATCCATGAGAGGAAAAAAACGGTGGGCCTCAAGGCCACCAGGTTCTGAGGTTCTGGAACAGGATATTGCAGTGTGTGAGAGACGTGTCATCAGGGTGGAGGGCACTAGCTGGGAAACAAGCACCATAAAGAAGGAAACCTCTGCTGGTGGCCATGCCCACCCGGTCCTGCTGTCTGTCCCTCTCATCACTTAGTGTCCTCTCATGAAGGGCCACCCCCTCTTTCTTTGCCCTGAGAGTTCTCAGGGCTGAGTGGAGCACAGTGCTTCAGAGCTCCTATTTCTTACTGGAGGAGCACAAGGTGCCTTCATGTGGTCTCAGCAGCAGCAAATATGTCCCGGAACAGGGAGGGAGAACTGGGTGCAGTGGCCCATGCCTGTAATCCCAGCACTCCCCAGGTTGAGGCAGGAGGATCGCTGTGAGTTCTAGGCTGACTTGGGCTACTTAGACTCTGTCTCAAAAAATAAAAATGAAAAATAAAATAAGGGTTGGAGGTGAAGCTCAACCCCCTGGGCTCAATTCCCAGTACCACAATGAAGAAAGAAAGTGAGAAGTTGAGAGAGGAAAGGAGGAGGAAGGAAAAGAAGAAGGGAATGAAGAAGAGAAGGCAAAGGTCATCAGCCAGGCTGTAGTCCCACCTGCTGGACAGGCTAAGCCAGAAAGACCACCTGAGGCCAGGAGTTGGAGGCCAGCCTGGACAACCTAGTGGATCCGTGTCCCTCTCCAAACCCTAAGTTAAGTGACCAATATGAGACATACAAGAGATGCAGGCTTTGACTCATCAGAATCTCTACTTGCAAGTGCTTAGGTGTTGTTTTGTCTTTCATTCTCAGCCTGGAGCACTGGGTGGAGGGAACCCCGTTTCCCTGCGCTCCTCTCCCTGCCCCTTTGCTGGCTGAGCTGATATCAGGACTGGCCTCACCCAAGTCTTTCTTTTTTCCCCTCTGGGGCTGGGGGGCTGAGCCCAGGGCTCCTCGAAGAGCCACCCCCACCCCCAGGTGGGGTGCACTACCCAAGCAGCGGTCACCTCGATCTCCTCTAGCAAGACCTCCTCGGTCCGGTTGCATTTTTTCTGGGTCTGGGCAATCTGCAGCTCAGTGTTCCTTTTCATGTGGCGATTCTCCAGGTTGGTTTTGGCCTTCATCTCTTGCAGCTGGTCCTTGAGATGGGCAATGTATTTGTTTCGGCTCTGCAGAAGAAAGACCAGGGTTTTTGGGTTTGTTTTTTGTTTTGTTTTGTTTTGTTTTAGCAGAACTGGGGATTGAACTCAGGCCCTTGCACTTGCCAGGGAAGCCCTTATTCCACTGAGCCATCTCCCTGGCCCAAGAGCAGGTTTCTAATTAGAGTTCCTTCTACCTCTGTGGAGCGTGGTCAGTGGCTTCAGCTTGCCTTCCTAATGTAAGAGTCAAAAAGGGACTGCAACTACTGTTCTGCTGTCACACGAAGGGAATAGCCAATAATCATAGGGCATAAATTAAACTGGAAGCTAACAAAGCAGCTCTGAGAGTAGACCGGGATGGTGGCACACTCCTATAATCCAGTCCTTGGGAGGGAGGGTGAGGCAGGAGGATAGCTATAAGTCTGAGGCCACCCTGGGCTACAGAGTGAGTTCAAGGCCAACCCAGGCTACATAACATGACCCTGTTTCAAAAATTAAAAGGCAAACAAATAAGAGTCCAGACTATGAGATTCTTCACAGGCATGGTGATGGGGGACTGTATTGTACACAGTTCTTCCCTGACCACCTCATTTTGGTAGAAATGGCAGGGCTCAAGGTGCCCAAAGTCCTGACTTCCGGGCCAGGTCCCCCATGGCTATGGGAGCAGCCGAGCTGCTCAGCCGTCTAGGTTCTCCCTCCTGTGAATGGAAGTCCCATCACCCTACTGTCTCACACGGGAAAGGAGTGAAGTCCTGGCACCTGTGCTGTCTCACACAGGAGAGGAAAGCAACCCCGCCACCCTCTGGCTGACTCA